AAGAATGCGCGCGGCGCTAAGGCGAAAGCCACATTTTGAAAACGACCCGCCTTCAACCAGGCTTGCAATTTTTTAAAACGAATGTGCGCGGCGCGAAGGCGAGAGCCACATTTTGAAAACCATCCGCCCTCCATCCGTGAAGCTGCTGCAAATTCTTAAGACGAGTGTGCGCGGCGCTAAGGCGAGAGCCACATTTTGAAGACCCGCCCTTTATCTGTGAAGCTGTTGCCATTGTGGTGAGGAAGTCTCAGGCGAAACGCCCGGCCCACCCTAAAAATTGGCCTCGGGGTGCGACAGGGAGGACTTACCTATAAGGAGCAGGAATGGAGAGGACGACGACGAGGAGGAGGACGAGGACCAGGACCAGGACGAGTAGGAGGAGGAGGAGGACGAGGAGGACGAGGAGGAGGAGGAGGAGGAGCAGGAGGAGGAGCAGGAGGAGGAGGAGGAGCAGGAGCAGGAAAGGAGGAGGAGCAGGAGCAGGAGCAGGAGTAGGAGCAAGAGTAGGAGCAGGAGCAGGAGCAGAGGAGAGGGCTGTTCCTCCGGTGGGAGGCACGGGGCGGATTTCCCCCGAGCGTGCTTGCCAGCAGCAGGGGCGGATCCCACCCGCCTGTTCCTACAGCCATCCTCTCGCGGTCGGGAACTTTGGGTGTAGCGTGTCGCTCCGCGGGTTCTGGCCCACGCTTCGGCGCGACACGCTAGCCACCTCCCTGTCCCGAGGCGTCAACAGCCGCGGCTTTTCACGACCTCCCGCCCCGCGAAGCGTAGCGATACGTCACGGAACTTTCCATAGGCCTGTGCGTTCCTCCTTCCTTCTCTTCCTTCCTTCCTTCCTTCCTTCCTTCCTTCCTTCCTTCCTTCTCTTCCTTCCCTACGTCCTTCCTTTGTTCCTTCCTTCCTGCCTTCCTGCCCTTCCGTATGGTACGTGGGTCGGTGTAGCTTCTCGTTTCGTCTCCTCTGTCCGCCCCCCAGGGAAAAACAAGCTCAATGAGCGCTCGCAGCGGCGATGCGCGCAGGCGCCCGCACGGGGGGCGCGGAGCCTGGCTGCCCTCCGGGCGGGGGCCCCGCTTTGAGGCGGCGTGGCCCGCTCTGCGTCGAGGCGCCGCCCCCTCGGCACCCGAGGGGGCAAGCTCCTCCACTCCTTCTCCTTATAGATAACTCCTCCCTGTCGCATTCCTGCTCCTCCTGCTCCTCCTCCTCCTCCTCGTCCTCCTCGTCCTCCTCCTCCTCCTCCTACTCGTCCTGGTCCTGGTCCTCGTCCTCCTCGTCGTCGTCCTCCTCCATTCCTGTTCCTTATAGGTAAGTCCCCCCTGTCGCACCCCGAGGCCAGTTTTTAGGGTGGGCCGGGCGTTTCGCCTGAGACGTCCTCACCACGTATGACTCTGAAGCTTAAAAAGTAACAACAGCTTCGTTGATGGAGGGTGGGTGGTTTTTTCACCTTAGCGCCACGCGCATTCGGTTTTTAAGCATTGCACGAGCTTCACGGATTGAGGGCGGGTGGTTGTCAAGATGTGGCTCTCGCCTTAGCGCCACGCACATTCCGTTTCAAAAATTGCAAGAGCTTCGCGGATTGAGGGCGGGTGGTTGTCACATGTGGCTCTCGGTTTAGCGCCACGCACATTCGTTTTCAAAATTAACACGAGCTTCACGGATTGAGGGCGGGTTGTTTTCAAAATGTGACTCTCGTCTTAGCGCCGCGTACATTCGTTTAAGAATTTGCTCGAGCTTCACAGAATGAGGGCGGGTCGTTTTCAAAATGTGGCGTTCGCCTTAGCGCCGCGCACATTCGCTTTCAAACTTTGCACGAGCTTCACGGATTCCCATGATCAACGTACCAGAAATGGTGTTTTGTTTGGGATGGATTCAGGATTATGCGGGTGCAGCAATTATGTTTATTCGCGGTGTTGGAGTCCCAAACATGGCGCTCTGGCACGATTCTGGATCGTCGAAACGCAGCAGTCAGGTTGATACGTGGCCTCGAAATCCCGAGAACAATGTTTTGGCATGCTTCAGGATCTTCAAACAGTTGCCTTCTAACGAGGCAGTTCCCTCGATGGAAATGAACCGTTGTGGGGGCCTATGAAGAGGGAGCTTGGAGGGAGGGTTAATTCCAACATCGTTGATGACTCGTGGTTTGACACTGGTCCTCCTCCTCCTCCTCCTGCTCCTGCTCCTGCTCCTCCCTCCCTCCCTCCCTCCTCCTCCTCTTCCCCCTCCTCCTCCTCGTCCTCGTCCTCCTCCTCCTCCTCCTCGCCCCTCCTCCCTCCTTCTCCTCCTCCTCCTCCTCATCATCATCCTCCTCCTCTTCCCTCCTCCTCCTCCCTCCTCCTCCTCCTCCTCCTTCTCCTCCTCCTCCTCCTCCTCCTCCTCCTCCTCCTCCTCGCCCCTCCTCCTCCTCCTCCTCCTCCTCCTCCCCCTCCTCCTCTCCTCCTCCTCCTCATCCTCCTCCTCCTCCTCCTCCTCCTCCTCCTCGCCCCTCCTCCTCCTCGCCCCTCCTCCTCGCCCCTCCTGGAGAGCCTTTGCCGCTGCTCCTCCTGGAGAGCCCGCGTCGCCACGGCTGGCGCTGCTCCGGCCCGCGGCCGGGAGGGCCCTGCTGCCGGGCTGGACAGTGGAAACCCATGCCAAGAAACACCTTGCTTGGCCCTCCTCCAAGGTGCTACGGCCACGCGCCCACAAGGAGAGCGTGCGATGCCCGATGTTTTTTCTGTTGCTTTCGAAGCTAGTGTTTGATGCGGCAGGCCAGCTTCTGACAGGTCGCAGCCCAGTCTCGGCTTCACGTACAGTGGAGACCCATGCCAAGAAACACCCTGCTTGCCTCCAGGGGGTGCCTTGGGTTTCTTGGGTTTCGGTGGTTCTGCTATGGAGAGCGTAACGCTCCCACGCCAAAATTCAGTGGACGTCCTGGGGTCTCAGGGTTGGGTTCCTTGTGGAAGGTTTCTTGAGGTCGAGCTTCTGCTGTACCGATGCCGGTGCTCCTCCGCGAGAGGTCTCGTCGCCACAGAGCTCCGAGGGCGAAGAAGCTCTGAGGAGGAAAACAAGGTAGGTTTTCCTATCTACAGACCGATTGTTTACAACAAAATGTATGTGTACATGCATTTATTCATATATATATATATATGATTCCCAACTGTGTGGGGCACTTCGGAGTCACATAGGAAAAGGCACCCACACCGCTACCATTGCCTCGTTTCCGCCCTTTGGGGGCCTCCTTGGAGCCCATTCTCCTTGAGATTCTGGTCAAAATTATCCCCTGGAGCAGCGGCGTCAGCATATTCGTTTGCTTCCCCGTGGAGGGCTGCGTGAGCTTCATTCCTTCAGGTGTTTGTGTGTCTGAGTGTATGTGTGTGTGCGTGCGTGCGTGTGTGTGTGTGTGTGTGTGTGTGCGTGTGTGTGTGTGTGCGTGTGTGGGTGTGCGTGTGCGTGTGGGTGGGTGTGCGTGTGTTTGTGTGTATGCGTACGGGTGTGTGCGTGTGTATGTGTGTGTGTGTGTGTGTGTGTGTGTGTGTGTGTGTGTGTGTGTGTGTGTGTGTGTGTGTGTGTGTGTGTGTGTGTGTGTGTGTGGGTGTGCGGGGGGGGGGGGGCGCGCCTCTTCCGTTCTCCGCTGGAATCCGACTTCGCTGCGCTGCCGCGCGGGTGGCCGCGAGTCCGAAAAAGCGTGTGCGTGTGCGTGTGTGAGTGTGTGTGTGTGGTTCGCAGACTGCGACTGCGGCGCTCCTCAGGTGCTGCGATCTTGCTCACCTCTTGTTGCCCGTGATCGAAGCAGCCGAGAATGTGCCCGACTCGGTTCGTGCCTTGTCCCTCGCGACAGAGTGGATTCCCCAAGTCTCGGGGACTTGATCGCCGCCAGTTGCATTGGGCGATGCACCTGCGCCGCTCTACCTCATAGGGCCGCCAGCGCGCGAAACGTGCCTGTGTGTGTCTGTGTCTGTGTCTGTGTCTGTGTGTGTATGTGTACGTCCCCGCGAGGGGATGTCCCGCGTTGGGCAGCGCCGTCCCTCCCCGCCATCCATCCATGCCTGGAATGGCTATGAGCCCCCAGCTGCCATGGCGGCTAGCGCGGTGGTCCGAATCGATCCGAAGAGACCTTGCTTGAGGACCCTGCGGCGAACGCCCGATCCGCGCGGTCGCCGCGCTCGAGGCCGCTACTGCCCAGAAGCGCATGCGTGTGCAATAGAGAGAGAGAGAGAGAGAGAGAGAGAGCGAGATCCTGGATCCCCCCGCCGCGTGGACTGGCCCGGCCGCGCGCTGTCTCCCGCTCGAACGCCTACGCCGCGCCGCCGCGCGCGTGGCCGCGACGTCAAACAGTGTGTGTGTGTGTGTGTCTGTGTGTGTGTGGTTGGGTCGTCATGGGCACGGGCACCGCGGATATATCGGCGCGGCGACAGCGTAGCAGCAGGACGTGGAAGAGGATGAGGAGGCTGTGGATAAGGATGCTGATGCTGATGCTGATGATGGTGATGGTGATGGTGGTGATAATGATGATTACGCTGGTGATGTTGGTGGTGACGATACTGATGATGACGACGATGATGACGACGATGATGATGCTGATGATGATGTTGCTGCTGCTGATGATGATAATGATCATCATGCTGATGCTGCTGCTGCGGCTGCTGATGATGATAATGATGATGATTATGCTGCTGCTGCTGATGACGACGACGATGATGATGATGATGATGACGATGATGCGCAGGAGGACGAGGAGAAGGAGGAGAAGGCGAAATATGATGATGATGTTGATGATGATGTTGATGATGATGATGATGATGATGATGGTGATGGTGATGGTGATGGTGATGATGGTGATGGTGATGATGGTGATGATGATGATGGTGATGATGATGATGATGATGAGGAGGAGGAGGAGGAGGAGGAGGAGGAAGCCATAGAGGCGGAAACGGGCGGGGCGGAGGAGGAGGAAGAGGATGAGGGGGAGGAGGGAGCCACTACCTGCGATACCCAATCCTTGCTCGGTTGGCCACCCTGGCCAGCCAAAGGTGGTGGTGCGCCTCCTGCCCCCCGAGATCACGGAAGCGGAGCTGCTCGCCACCGTGGACGAGAAGCGCGCGCACGGGGGCAGGAGGAGGAGGGGCGAGGTGGCAGAGGAGGGCTGCGAGGACGAGCAGGAAGGCATGGACGGAGACGAGAGCGCAGACGAGGAGCACGGGCGAGGAGGAGGCGCCCCGAGAACTGTGCGTTGCCTTTTGCCACGCCAGGCGTTTTCGCATGGTTTCGGGCCCTGGGGCCATCGCAGGTCGAGCCGACTCGGAAAAGGCAGCAGAAGTATGAGGTCTACGGCTCCGGCCGTGGTGCTTCAAGGGAGGAGCAGCCACCCAGACGGGACAACTGGCGTTCATCAAATGGCCCTGGGCGTTCACCAAACAGCCCTGCCCTGGCTCGATTCCTTCAATGGGGGCGTTTAGTGAACGGCTTCGCCTGTTGGGGTGGTTCTTATGGGGGTGGGATGTGCTGCTGCCCTCCTTAGTGTTTCGCGACGTGGCATCTTCTGCAGGGTCGGATCTCCCCGTACGGTCAACGGTCAGGAGCGCATGCTCAGCGTGTCGCGCCGCCAGCTCTGGCCCACCGCGCTCTGGCGCGGAGCGCAGGCCACGTCCCAGCCCCCCCGGGCGTCAGCGTCACGGTCCTGCCCCCCGCCTCCCGCCCCGCGGAGCGGAGCAGCACGCCAGCCGCTTGCAGGGCATGGCGCGTCGCCTGTGCCGCCTCCGCGACACCCTAAGCAAACGTTCCCGACCGCAGGGGGGAGCGGGAGGAGGTGTGCGAGACAAGAGGGCAAAGCAGAGCAAGCGCAAAGCGAGACCGGACGAGGCGAGACAAGGCACGCCTTCCGACCCGTATTCCCGCATACCAGCAGGACAGCGATGCGAAATCGAAACCTTGTTGGCTTTGTAGAGCGGCCTCCCATGTCGGGGCGCCTTGGCAGGGCAGGACTTCGCAATGATGAGCAGAAGATCGATTGATGAGGATCGACTACAGAATTCATGTACCTAGAGTTGATTTTCTCGCCGAGTCTGTAGACGAATAAATTACATTTTCGTAGATCCACCCCCAAATCTAAGCATTTTCCGTGGATTCGACTGGAAAAATCGAGTTTGGGGTAAATCAATGCTGTAGTCGATCCTTTACTCGAGGAGAAAGATGATGATACATTACACTGGAGAACACCGCAATCAGTGGATGATTCGAAAGTTTTGCAAGCACCAAGAGAGAGAGGGGGGAATGAGAGAGAGGGAGAGAGAGATTGTATAACACTGAGAACAAACATCAGACATTACGATTCGATCGTGTATTGCGTATCAAAGAGTGAGACACACATAAAGACCTGTACCAAGAGAGAGAAAGCGAGAGAGGGAGATTGAGAGAGAGAGGGGAATGAGAGACAGGTTGCATAACACGGAGAAAAAAACATCAGACATAACGATTCGAACATGTATTGATACGTACCGGGGGATCACGAAGAAGTGAGACTGGTATGCAGAGGTACCAAGAGAGAGAGAGGTGGAGAGAGAGGGAGCGCCCACCGACAGCACTGATATAGAGAGATACCAAGAGAGAGATAGAGAGAGAAAGAAAAGCACAAGAGAGATGGGGCGCCCACCGACAGCCGCCCACCGAGAGCCGTTCACCGAAATCGGCCGGCTACTTCCGCCAATCTCTTGAGAGGGGGCGCCCACCGAAAGCCGCCCACAGAGATTGGCCGGCTACTTTTGCCAATCTCTTCTATGTCCGCTAGGACCCCTTCAGGGTAAACGCTGATTGGGGAATTACATGTGTAGGGTCACGTGTATGGACGGCTGAGGTAATTTTGATTCAGCGCGTGCGCCATCAACAACGGGATCAACGATACAGGGACGACGAGGGATGGAGGATCAGAGAGGAGGATAATGATGAGGAGGAGAACAGGAGGAACACAAATAACAAGAGCATCAGTGGAATCAAGATCAGGAGGAAGATGATGATGAAGAGGACGAGGAGCATGAAGAGCGGTAGGAGTTCTGCAATTATAATCGCAGGACAGTAAGTGATACGCCAGGTTTCTTTGCAGCGGTGGTTCAAGTCTGCTTCGCTATCTGCGCGTCAGACTAGGCTTGGGCAGATCACGGCTAAGGCTTCCCCCATCCCCTTCCTTCTCTTCCTCTTCTTCCTTATGGATTATTTCTTCATTAACCCTCTTACATTATTCTTCCTGTTTCATTATTCCTTCTCCTCTTCTATTCCTCCTCCTCCGCCTCCTCCTCCTCCTTCTCCCCTGCACTCCTGGTCCGCTTGTCCGCACCTCGCCAGGATCCCTGAAACATTTGCTGATTGGGAGACATGCCCGCCAGCACACACACACACACACACACACGCACACACACGCACACACATACACGCACACACACACACACACGCACACACACACACACGCACGCACGCACGCACTCAACCACGCGACGCACGCAAGGCACTCACACACACCACACACACACACACAACACA